AATTATAACTCAAGATAGTAATTGTAGCACTGCGGGAGGAAGCGTGTGTAGTTGAGGGCAAGATGCACAATGAATTAACTGAAGATCTACAAAGATCTCCTTAATCCTCATCACTATGAAATCTTCTTAGTCTACTTCACTACTTCTACACTAATATGCACTTTTGTATACAATGGATGCGGGTGCGGTTGAGACATTGGGGAACTTCACTAGGCTAGCGATTCTAAGCCATACTTGCCCTTGAGACACATTCCCAGGCAAGCATTAGCTAGGGTTCGTCATGAGCCAGGTACTTAGGAGCTGGGTGCGGGCAAGGTGGTGGCAAGCCGTTAACCCACCTGTCACATCGCTACAGCAATAATTGTTTGTCATCTTTAAGCTATATTTGTATATTACACCAAAATGCAGTCTTTGAAGTGCAGCTTCGTGGCTCAGAGATTGCCGACCAACGCAAGAACATAGTAGCGTGTACAGAAGTGTTGATACTAATGAAGTGTCATGGACGGTGTTACGATGCTTATTGCAGGATATAATCATATCGAAAGTAAGCTATATTTCAGATTTTGGCATGTTTGAGGTCGCTTCACGCATGCTAAATAAGTGCAATCGCCACACACTACATCTTGTTGTGTAGCCCGCAACCATGTCTTCAGTTTTCATATCAAATGCATCACGCTCAGACGTACCGTTGCTGAGCAATTCAACGACAAAGTCATGTACTTTCTGGATAGTTAACATTGTCATAAATTTTGACACATATTGATGTTAACCTGATGCTATTGTGAATTCGCTCCCAGACGAATCGACGCTATTGGCTAATCCATTTTTTAGTGGATTTGATTGGCTCTTGCAGAAAGGACAAGTATATTCAACCAATCAGACCTCAGACGTGATTCAATATGGACTAAGACAAACCAGGCGAATTTTGGAAGTATATATCTGGAAATTCATATCGAATCCACAATATATTTCGATGTTCTCTCTTTAAATTATGGATACTTATTTTATATTATATTAAAAATACGTAACGGTATTCTCGTGGAATGTAGTGGATATTTTCCAAAAGAATCGTAACTGGCGACCGAAATTTGAAGTCCATACGTACACATTTAGAACAGCGGAATCGAATACCAAGTAGCCTTGCACCTAAACTCGTCTCCTTCGTCAAGGCATACGTTCATCCTCGCTTATGTCGCCGAGGATGGCTATGTTCGTCATTTCCCGCAGCCTCCAGCGTAGAAGCCGTTGGATGTACTGTATTCATTCAAGATTGGGTTTGAAGTACACTTGTCAACACTGGCCACATTTGGCTGGATTTGAGGCTGTGCCGAGCCTCTAACTCGGTGAACATATCTCCACAATAGAAATACAAAGTCTACAAAACAATAACACAAGACAAAAACAGGTATCCTAAATTGGTTTTCAAAAGGCCAGTACAAGTGCTTACTTACAGTTAGAAGTGACAAATTTGGTGTGAAGTTAATCGGTAAGCAGATAATTCGATTATGGACCATTTCCGTCATTTCACTTACAGTAAAATGATTCCAAAATAAAAGACCTACCTCTTTCCGTCCATAATCGAATTATCTGCTTACACGATTAACTTCACACCAAATTTGTCACTACTGTTAACTCAAATATTGTAACGGGCTCAAAAGTTATGTGCATTCTACTCGACGCCTCCGAAAACGGTACCTTAAACTGGATTTTACCTTACTGTCACTATTTTAGCAGCCTTGTGGTCAACTATGAACACAGTTAAACTCAATTAAACGCACGCATATACAGTGTTAGTGCGCATGTATTGTCCTTTCAAGTCAAAATTTGGAATTTGTGTGCTGATTCATCAAATCCATCGATCGATCTTTTTGTACTGAATTTTGTATGCAACGTTAATAATCACGCTATTTATCGCCGTGCACTAATTCGATAGTTGAAGGAGTTTGAATAGCCAATTTAATAGTGTGCTGGGTTTTGATTGGCACTCGATTGTCTGCCGATTTGGTCATCCCCCACTACAAGTTCCAATTGACTGTGAATTGGTAATAAAATGGTTTAAAGTTGTTTTGCCTTATCGACTCAATGCATCGGCAGTGATAAGCGGAGTACCCAATGCGTGAATTCCTCGCCAAGTATTTATCCTACTATACACAATGGATTTAGCAATATCTTATTCCTGTTCAACTATAATATTCCTTTATCATTTTTTAAATTCCACACTGCTGTCTGTTTTTGACACAACCCTAATTCATACTTACTTCAAGTATAAAATTCGGCACATCACTGGTCACCAATGTAAATTTTGCAACTTCCGAAACTATTTACGTCAACGTGAACTGTCTAAATCCATTGTGGTTAGGTGTACGGTATGTGACAGATCTTGACGAGCTCTTTCATGTGACGTCCACCTCATCGCTTTAGGATAAATACTTGACGAGGAATTCACGAAAGAAAAGGAAAAAAATCTGCACATCACTGGTCGATCACGTTAACGTAAGAATGAGTTTAAGGTATCTTATTCGGAGGCGTCGAGTAGAATGCACATAACTTTTGAGCCCGTTACAATATTTGAGTTAACAGTCAACGTCCGCATCAAGCGACCTTTTCTTATCCGGATTCATTTATAGAGGTAGTATTGATACAAAACGTCAATGAAACAATTAGTGACCATCAAGTTTAGCAAGACTATTGGATGATACAGTGAAAAATGACGTGCATTCCTGCGTTTCAGGTGTTTTATCAATCACGTTTTGGGGTTTCATCGAAAAACAATACAATTGTTCGATTCCAAATAAAATTCCATACAGGCTGGTACAATTTTTATACCATTTCAGGTTACTTTGATAGAATTATTCACAAAAGGTCGATGGATGCTAACGTTGACTGTAAGTGAAATGATTCCAAAATACAACACCTACCTCTTTCCGTACATAATCGAATAATCTGCTTACACGCTTAACTTCACACCAAATTTGTCACTTATAAGCACTTGTACTCGCCTTTTGAAAACCAATTTAGGGTACCTGTTTTTGTCTTGTATGTTCAAAAGTATGAAATTTTGTGTTTACAGTTAGGGTAAGCGGTTACAACAGGTGCAATATAATTTACACAAGGTTATTGTGTTGTAGAGTTTGAATTTCTATTGTGGAGATATGTTCACCCCGAGTTAAGCCTCAGATCCAGTCCAATTTGGCCAGTGTCGACAAGGGTGCTTCAAACCCAATCTTGAATGAATACGTCCAACGGCTTCTACGCTGAATGGCAATCATTACATGACAGAGGTTTTGACTCCAACAAATAACGAGGTGTGATTGGGCCATACGAAGTAACCTTACCTTATTAACGTTATAGTTAAACTGGTTAAAAAACATTTTCACTAGTTTTTTGTCGTTATCCAGATTGCCCGATATCCGGGAAACAATAACGTTATACGGATTCCACACAGTGCCATGAAGCGAGGACGACCAGGAGCGGACGACGACGCCGTCCCTGACGGGTGGATCGTACGCATGTCTGCGTCCAAGAACAAACCATACTACATACACGTGTCGACAAACAAGACGCAGTGGCATCACCCGAACTCGGACAAGCCGCAGAAGAAAAGCAAACCATTCGGTGGAGCTGAAGTTGCCGACGCCACTACCGTGGCCGTCACGCGTGCCTTTCGTGTGGGTGGCACCAACGTCTCGTCCAAGAGCGCGAGCCTTTGTTTGTTCCAACCTTGGCCTCATCAAGTTCGCGCCGTGGCCAGGGTCGTTGCAGCCATCGCCACGCACTCGAACAACCCCGTGGCATCCTCAGGCGCCACTCCATCCAATTTCCTCATCCAACACAGCACTGGGTCTGGCAAGTCGTACACAATTGCGTGCTTGGTACGTACGTCCGAGTACCGCGTCATTCTCATGCCAACGCACATACACATACAATAGGCGTACCAGCTGCTGTACACGCGAGACATCGCGGGCCGAGGCTTCCACACGGTGATCATACTGGTGGACCGCATCAAGCTGGACCAGCAGCTAGGCGACACGGTCGAATCGTTCTTGCATCGAAACGGCATCGAGTCGGTGTTTCGCGCAGAAACCATCGAGCACCTCAGCACGGTCGTGGGTATGCCTGCCAACGCTCAAAAGGTGATTGTCACCACGACCCACAAGCTGGCTCTGCTCGTGCAAGACAAAGTTCTGTTGGCGCGGCTGCTGGCATCTTCATCTGGCGCCAGCCTTGGGAATATAACGCATGTGGCCATCATCGCCGACGAAGTCCACCGCTCGCATACGTCGGGTACACGAGACTCGATCTCGACCGTATTGGACGCGCTCCACCACAAAACTTATGTACGTCACGGAGTGGTAGGGGCATTCTTATTGTGTTTTTTTACCTGGTCTTGAAGGCCAATACCCGTTGGACTAGGACATAGTAGAACAGAGTAATCATAGTTTGGATGCCAGGAACTGTGTGTACACTGTACACCATATTGAGCATGTGTGTGCATATTCATGTGTGTCGACAAGCGATGATGGGCGAACTCGTTCTGACAGTGAACTCGATATTGTCCTTTTACCCAAATTTTGGACGTTTGTGCTGAATCGCCACATCTATCAATCGATTCATTGTACTGATATATTTTGTATGATATATTTTGTATGTAAAAAGGTCACACACTAATTTGACGTTGATGATGATTTCCTGCAACTTGATTGGCTAAATCCTTCTGCCAATGATTCTTGTGGACATGTATTTGGTTGTGTCGATTCTTTATTCTCCATGTCGCTTGCTCCAGTTTAGAATAAACATAACAATACACATTTCACACTCGCGGCTCCAGTTTCGAGTGAAAACAACAGTAACGTTAGTATTGGTTTTCGTCTTTTTATTAAAATCTTGTAAGCGAAACTTATTTATATTTTATATATATCTATTCACGTGTCGTTTGTAGTACATTGGCTTCTCCGCCACGCCAAGCGTCCACACGTTGCGGATGTTTGGCCATAGGGACGACAGGACTTCTTCCCTTCGACCGTTTGACTGCCATTCCATCGCCCAAGCCGTCGACGCCCATCATATTGTCAACGTGTTGGAGCACTTTACAAGCTTGACGTGCACGTATTCCGTCGCACAATCCACTGAAAACAATGTGGGAATCTCACATAAGGACAACCTTCCCTGGCTACAAATGCAACTGGCGAGCTCGCATCCTGCAATCTTAGCCGCGAAAGCGTCGTCGATGATGCAGCATTTCGTGCAAACGTGCAAAACAACCCAAGTGTTTGCAAAGGTATTGTATCCATTTTACTGTCTCTACTGAACTAAACGTCTTGATGTCGTAGTGCCTTGTCGTCGCTCGAAATCGAAAGGACGTCGTGACGTACCATCGCCTTCTCACGGCCTTTATGACCCACCAGTGCGTATATATATATATATATAGTCCATTCAGGCAAAATTTGCATTTGTGATCCGGACTCGCTGAAGCCATTGATCGATGCTTTGTGCTGGCTGTTGTTGTATATGCAAGAAAAAAACTGTCCAGTAGTGAAGCCCTTCACACTAATTTAAGGCACACACGTATGGTTTCAAGATTTTAATTGGTCACTGGAGGTAGTGTTGTGGGGTGTAATTGATTTTGCTTTGTTGAGCTTTTGTTGGGGCCTTCTCGTTTCAATGTCGAATAGTCGAACCGACACTATAGATACATTGTCCTTTCAGCCAAAATTTGGACTTTTATGATGATTTGCCAAATCCATCGATCGATTGTTCGTACTGAATTTGGTATGTAAAACCGTGTCCAGCAGTGGTGATACCCATCAGACTCATTGAAGTCATACACTAATTTTTCGTTGTTTATTGGTTGAACCGATGCAATCTGATTGGTTAATTTCTTCCGCCGATTCGTCTGTACATTTGTTTGTGTCGATAACTGCATTCGGCCCGTCACTCCAGTTTTGAATAAACACCACCAATACGTATATATATATATATTTGGTCACCGGCTGTGGTGTGTCGTCTGTAGGAACCTTCCTGGACGTGTGTATTGTACGTTTAGCCCGTTTGACAATGTGCATGAAAACCAATTCAACACGTGTACATTACCCCAAGCCGACGTGATTGTCGTATGCGACAAGCTCGATACAGGCTACAACGAACCTGCGCTTGTGGCCATGTATATAGACCGTCCGTTGGTCGCGTACGGTCGCATTGTGCAGCTCCTGTCTCGGTTGAATCGGTGTCGAGAGGGCAAGTCCCGCGTATTTGTTCGAGACTACGCCAACCACCCCGCCCACGTACACCATCACGGCTCTTTTATAGCAGAAAGAAACGATCTCTAGTCCCTATTTTTTCTTTGTTGTTAACTTTGTAGATTCGACGGGCATTTGACGAGTTTGCCCACGAGTCGTCTGAGAGTAGCTCGAGCCAGCCCGATTTGACCAAGGTCGCGCTCGACTTGAAGACCGCCAGTGTCGTGCTATGGACGACGTTGCCTGGCTTGTTGTTGGACGGCGACGGACGACGACACGATGCGCTGGTCGACGTCGCGGACGTGGCCGCCGCCGTGCATCGGTGCCACATGGACACGTACTTGCAAATCAAACATGCGTTGGCTATGTACTTGGACGCATCGGCGGTTCTACACCGAGAATCGCCCTACTTACCGAGACTGTGCGTCGATAGCAGCAGTACACCACCTTGTTTGTGCTTACTCTGTTAAAGAGTTTTATGCGTTTTTGGGTTGTTATATACACGCCAGATGATCAAGAGAGAAAAAGCCGTGGTAAATGACGGGGGATTGGTTCATGTTATGTTTGGAATGTGTGTGTAGGTGGGTGGCCGAGTTTAAGCGACGAGTGGTTGACGACTTTGTTGGCGGCAGCAGCAGCATCCACGACATCTCATGCGACCAAACCTGTGCGGCGTGCGTTGCCGCCGTTCGCGTTATCTCCAACGTGACATTGGACACGACCTATCACGGCAACCTGTGGCGTGTACGTCGTAGTAGCAGACGACGAAGTTCTTAGTGTTTTTGGGTTCTTGGTCCTGATTTTTGTTTCCTGTAGAATGCCATGTACGACAGATTGTACGATCTACTGACGAATGCCCCAGCAACGAGCCAGAGCACTGCACCACTCGACGCTCGACCGGAAGACGGGGTAGACTACTTGCTGCGATCGTTGACGAGATGAAATGAAGACCACGTCATGTCGTTACGAGTATATTCCAAACGCTCAACTTCTCACACGAAGGTCGATGTTCAGTTCGTTGATCGCAAAGACAGCTACAATGAATGGTCTGGTTGTTCACAAATTTGACGAACCGGAGGATGGTATAGTCGTCGTTACTTGAGTGCGAGTTACACGCACATTAAGAGCCAGAACGTTCCACAAGCCCACTGCTGCGGACATGAGGTCAATTCTGTTACCGTCATCCTTAGCTTATCAGATTTCTGACCAGTCTGAGTCCATCTGACCTGCCTATCATATTGCATGGTGGTTGTGGTGAACCCTAATGTCACGACGTTCGACCCAAACAAACAGTCAGACTAGAGCCCGTCAAACTGGATGTCCAAGGTATCTTGGCATTTTGTGGTGATGGCAAGGTTGGTCAATTCTGAGTGGTGGGTGATGGCAAGGTTTTTGAAGGTCCATTTCAAAGTACACTCTCGAGTGGATCTTTCACGCTACTTGTGGTCATACTGCAAGTGTTCATGTCCCAATAAAGAAGATCTGAAGAGCATTCAGATCGTGAATCGTGGTGTGAACGTTGAACCTCAAATAATTCATGAATGTACACTCCCTTTTTAGAGGGACAATTCAACACGATTCCAGTTTATGCTTCGTTGTTGTATTCGAATGTCAAATCTCGTCGTTGAGAACAACTTTGTTGCATGGATTTCCATGGAATTCGACGAAGGTGATCAAGAGTTTGACAACGAGTTTTCTAAAACTATTTCAAAGTCAAAGAGATATAGAAGGGAAACCAAAGCATCGGTCACTGATAGGCCACGTTAAACTCATCTTCCGCTCATTGCAACAAACATCACGACATGCAACAAATGGAATAGGCAGTCATTGCATGTTTAGCATTATTGACCCTGCGTTTTCCACTGCACGGATGTGGCTCAAACCATGATAACAATGTCAACGTCTCATTCATTATACTGAATTCATACTGACATTTGGACGATTGAGCACTACACTTCATTGAAACAAGCAGAATTTACACCCACGTGTGGCCTCTGGACGCTTGGTCAATGAACGCCCGGAAGGCCGCCACGCGACCATACACGTCGGGGAATCCCTTGGCGCAGGGTTCACCAAAACTGACAACCCCCACTAACGCCAAACCCGACGACGTGGACTTGACCAACGGCCCCCCCGAGTCACCAAAGCAAGACGCTTGGCCCACGTCGCCCCCAGCACACAAGTGGGTGGCAGTGGCTGTCCACCAACGATAGTTGTTGGTGGCGCGGAGCCTGGTTTGACACTCGGCGTTGGACCTGACGACGAAGGTGTTTTCCTTCAGCACCACCGAGTTGCTGCCGGAAGGACCGCTGGTTTGACCCCACCCGAACAGCTTTACGCTCGTCTGCGCTGCAACTTCGTCCTTGGCGAGAGGAAGGGGGGCAAACTTGGACGCCCGGCTCAGCTTAAGGACGGCCACGTCGAAGCCGTAGTACGCTTCCTGGTAGCTGGGGTGCGAGGTGGAGGACACCACTGAGATCTGCTCGCCGTCCGACGTGCCGCCGATGTAGTGAGTGCCAACGGCGACAAAGCCAGGCTTGCCGTTCGCGACGCAATGGGCTGCAGTCAACACGTAGTCGGGGGCGATCAGAGTCCCCCCGCACAAGGAGTACCCCCCGGCAGTGCTGCGGAGGTTGACGGTCCACGTGTATTGCCCAACGGGGGCCTCTTCTCCGCCAACGACACGGATGCCCTGTTCTTGGTTCTCCGAGACGCCGGTGGAGTTGAAGTCTTGCGCGAAAATGGTGGCGGCGACAGCAGCGATGGCAACGAAGAGTTTCATGGTTGTTGGTCGGTTGGTGGAAATTGAAAAGTGCCTCTTGTTGGGCTGCAGAGGTAGACTGTTGAACAAGCGTGACTCTCTATCGGTGGCATTAATTAAACTCGGAACAGTCGTCGTCAGCTTGAAGTCCTAGAAATGGGGATAGCGTTATCAGATTTCTGAGCCCTTCGGCCCTGCCTATCATATTTCATGTTGCGATGAACCCATCTGTGACGGATTAATTAAGTTTGGATTATCATTTTTAAGACATTCCTCCGCGAGCGCCGATACTAGAACCACTCTGTGACGGAATGTCACCGCATTCGACCCAAAAAAGAGTCTGACTGGAGTACGTCAAACCGGATGTCCTAAGAATTTTGGCATTTGTGTCGAGGCAAAGAGTGGTGATGTAAGAATTTTGGCATTTGTGTCGAGGCAAAGAGTGGTGATGGCAAAAAGGATGGTCAATTATGAGTGGTGATGGCAAGGTTTTTGAAGGTCCATTTCGAATCACCCACCGGAGTGGATATTTCGTCGCACTTTACCCTTTCATGATATTTGTGGCCATGCCGCAAGGGTTCTTGTCCCAATAATGAAGATATGAAGAGCATCGTGAATAGTGGTGGGAACGTTGAACCTCAAATAATTCATGAATGTTACTCCCTCACTACATGTTCAATACGATTACAGTGTATGCTGCGTTGTTGTTTTCAAATATCAAATGTCGTCGTCGAGAACGACTTTGTTGCGTGGATTCCCTTTGAATTCGACGAAGGTTACCAAGAGTTTGACAACGAGTTTCTACGAACATTTGCAAACGTCAAAGTGCGTGGAAGGGTAAAGTGTAACAATCCACTCTGGTCTGTGATTCCAAATGAACCTTCAAAAACCTTGCCACCACAACTCAGAATAGACCTGCCTTGCCAGCATCACACTCTCCCCCACTCCCTGCCACAACGTAAAATGCCAAAATACCATGGATATCCGGTTTGATGGTCTCCAGTCTGACTCTTTCCTTGGGTCGAACGAGGTGACATTTCGTCACAGATGGGGTTCACCGCTACGTGAAATATGATAGGCAGGGCCGAAGGGCTCAGAAATCTGATAACGCTATCCCCATTTCTAGGACTTCAAGCTGACGACGACTGTTCCGAGTTTAATTAATGCCACCGATAGAGAGTCACGCTTGTTCAACAGTCTACCTCTGCAGCCCAACAAGAGGCACTTTTCAATTTCCACCAACCGACCAACAACCATGAAACTCTTCGTTGCCATCGCTGCTGTCGCCGCCACCATTTTCGCGCAAGACTTCAACTCCACCGGCGTCTCGGAGAACCAAGAACAGGGCATCCGTGTCGTTGGCGGAGAAGAGGCCCCCGTTGGGCAATACACGTGGACCGTCAACCTCCGCAGCACTGCCGGGGGGTACTCCTTGTGCGGGGGGACTCTGATCGCCCCCGACTACGTGTTGACTGCAGCCCATTGCGTCGCGAACGGCAAGCCTGGCTTTGTCGCCGTTGGCACTCACTACAT